CAATGCCATGAAACCAGGTTTTCAATTATCACCATTGTAGATAAATATGTTGTATTTGAAATACAAATACAAGCAACAAACAATGTAACTATGTGCAATGTAAAACATGAATAATGTAGGAATTGCCACAGAGGAAGTGTTCACTATAATTATATTCTGTATAAGGAAAAAAAACAAAGGGCCATAATTAAATAAAAAATTATTCAATCACAAAACCCTGACAATATGTGCCAGGGCACTGGATGACAAAGCTACTGTGAAAGTTTGAACAAAATCCGTTGAGAAATGTAGGAGTTCAGCACAGAAAATTTTTTTCACTATATATTCTGTATAAGGAAAAATAACAAAGGGCCATAATTAGGTCAAATATTATCCAATCACAAAACCCCGATAATGTGCGCCAGGGCACTTGATGACAAAGCCTCTGTGAAAGTTTGGTCAAAATCTGTTGAGAAATGTAGGAGAAGTTGCGCATCATGGTATGGTAAAAATTGTTCACTATATAATCTGTATAAGGAAAACAAACAAAGGGCCATAATTAGGTCAAATATTATCCAATCACAAAACCCGATAATGTGCGCCAGGGAATTTGATAACAAAGCTTCTGTGAAAGTTTGGTCAAAATCTGTTGAGAAATGTAGGAGAAGTTGCGCATGGTAAAAATTGTTCACTATATAATCTGTATAAGGAAAAAAAACAAAGGGCCATAATTAGGTCAAATATTATCCAATTTCAAAACCCCGATAATGTGCGCCAGGGAATTTGATAACAAAGCTTCTTTGAAAGATTGGTCAAAATCTGTTGAGAAATGTAGGAGAAGTTGCGCATGGTAAAAAATGTTCACTATATAATCTGTATAAGGAAAAAAAACAAAGGGCCATAATTAGGTCAAATATTATCCAATCACAAAATCCTGACAATATGCCCTAAGGCACTTGATGACAAAGCCTCTGTGAAAGTTTTGTCAAAGTCCGTAGGGAAATGTAGGAGGAGTTGCGCACAGAAAATTGTTCACTATATATCCTATATTGGGAAAAAAAACAAAGGGCCATTATTAGGTCAAATATTATCCAATCACAAAACCCCGACAATATGCGCCAGGTCACTTGATGACAAAGCTTCTGTGAAAGTTTGGTCAAAATCCGTTGAAAAATGTAGGAGGAGTTGCGCACAGAAGAAATTGTTTACGCCCGCCCGTCCGCCCATCTGCCCGCCCGCCGACATACCTCAATCTAATAACCAGTTTTTTCCTTCGGAAAACCTGGTTAAAAAGGTATCAAATTCAGCATCCTATCATTTAAAGTTTCACTCCTGTCAGTTCAATAATCTCTTCCCAGTTGTAATTTAAACATTCAGATTATAAATATCACACCATATCATAATTTTATTGATATCAAATATTGTAAATGAAAAGATCAATTGTTAACAATGATCCAACATTAGCCTGGAGTGTATGACTAAGGTACTTTCAGGTCAACATCAACAGCTCATAGATCAATACGAAACATTGATTTCTACCATGATTCACAACATCCACAACTTACAATATCTGCCACTGTTGTATTACCATATTGTAAGGTTTCTGCAATGTTGTCTTAATTGTTTTATATGCTGCTGCTCATAATTTGAATCATTTCAACACAACTGAGAAAACAACAAATCTAAGCCATGAGTATTAAGCCATATCAGTCAGTAAATTAATACTGTCATACCAGGCTTAATTCTTCTGGTTGCTCAGATTCTAAAACTAATTAATACCAGTAAATGGCACCTCAAAAATTCAAACCAGGACGAGTCCACTGAGGGTCAAGGCCACAGACAACAAATTTTATGGTTATCCTACACATCCAAAATATGTTGATGTCAGAAGATGGAAAGTCATGTCTAATCTAATGAAAATCTGTCTGACAGTTTACATTGAAAGGCTTCTTCAAGTTGTGTCTTCTTTTTCTATTTCATGTAAACAATGGAACAATTAATTTGTATTGCAAGGCTTGCATTAAACTTAAATAGAAACTCCCAGACAGAAATCAAATACTGCCACATGGTAATGTCAGTCATACACTCTCATTACATACTTTAGATTAACTTTAATGTCTGACTTATAATTGCAACTGAGACTTATGTATAATATAATATATTATGACAGACTCAAGGACTTTAACTTTTTGTGACAGCAATTATAAACAGTACTTAAGCTACACAATACCTTAAAACTGTAATAATTATACAGGAGTGGACAATCATTGTTTTGGCACTAAGTCAATTAAGAATGAAACTTTACTTGAAAGACCAACTAATGAAGAAACTGTACTTGACAAACCAACTTATGTAGAAACTTTACTTGACAGACCAAATTATGTAGAAACTTTCATTGACAGACCAAGTTACGTAGATGTTTACATGACGAACCAACTTGTGTAGAAACTTTACTTGACAGACCCACTTATGTAGAAACTTAACTTGACAGACCAACTTATGTAGAAGCTTTACTTGACAAACCAACTAATGTAGAAACTTTACTTAACAGACCAACTTATGTAGAAACTTTAATTGACAGACAAAGTTACGTAGAGGTTTACATGATGGACCAGCTTGTGTAGAACTTTACTTGACAGACCAACTTATGTAGAAACTTAACTTGACAGACCAACTTATGTAGAAGCTTTACTTGACAGACCAACTTATGTAGAAACTTAACTTGACAGACCAACTTGTGTAGAACTTTACTTGACAGACCAACTTATGTAGAAACTTAACTTGACAGACCAACTTCTGTAGAAGCTTTACTTGACAAACCAACTAATGTAGAAACTTTACTTAACAGACCAACTTATGTAGAAACTTTAATTGACAGACAAAGTTACATAGAGGTTTACATGATGGACCAGCTTGTGTAGAACTTTACTTGACAGACCAACTTATGTAGAAACTTAACTTGACAGACCAACTTATAGAGAAATTTAACTTGACAGACCCACTTGTGTAGAAACTTAACTTGACAGACCAACTTGTGTAGAAACTTTACTTGACAGACCAACTTATGAAGAAACTTAACTTGACAGACCAACTTATGTAGAAGCTTAACTTGACAGACCAACTTATGTAGAAATTTAACTTGACAGACCCACTTGTGTAGAAACTTAACTTGACAGACCAACTTGGGTAGAAACTTTACTTGACAGACCAACTTATGAAGAAACTTAACTTGACAGACCAACTTATGTAGAAACTTAACTTGACAGACCAACTTATGTAGAAATTTAACTTGACAGACCAACTTGTGTGTAGAAACTTAACTTGACAGACCAACTTATGAAGAAACTTAACTTGACAGACCAACTTATGTAGAAGCTTTACTTGACAGACCGAATTATGTAGACATTTTAATTTGACAGACAAAGTTACGTAGAGGTTTACATGACGGACCAACTTGTGTAGAAACTTTACTTGACAGACCAACTTGTGTAGAAACTTTACTTGACAGACCAACTTATGTAGAAACTTTAATTGACAGACCAAGTTATGTAGAGGTTTACATGACAGACCAACTTGTGTAGAAACTTAACTTGACAGACCAACTTGTGTAGAAACTTTACTTGACAGACCAACTTATGTAGAAACTTTAATTGACAGACCAAGTTATGTAGAGGTTTACATGACAGACCAACTTGTGTAGAAACTTAACTTGACTGACCAACTTGTGTAGAAACTTTACTTGACAGACCAACTTATGAAGAAACTTAACTTGACAGACCAACTTATGTAGAAGCTTTACTTGACAGACCAAATAATGAAGAAACTTAACTTGACAGACCAACTTATGTAGAAGCTTTACTTGACAGACCGAATTATGTAGAAATTTTAATTGACAGACCAAGTTATGTAGAGGTTTACATGACAGACCAACTTGTGTAGAAACTTAACTTGACAGACCAACTTGTGTAGAAACTTTACTTGACAGACCAACTTATGAAGAAACTTAACTTGACAAGACAACTTATGTAGAAGCTTTACTTGACAGACCAACTTATGAAGAAACTTAACTTGACAGACCAACTTATGTAGAAGCTTTACTTGACAGACCGAATTATGTAGAAATTTTAATTGACAGACCAACTTACGAAGAGGTTTACATGAAGGACAAACTTGTGTAGAAACTTTACTTGACAGACCAACTTATGTAGAAGCTTTACTTGATAGACCAACATATATAGAAACTTTACTTGACAGACCAACTTATGTAGAAGCTTTACTTGACATACTAACATATGTAGAAACTTTACTTGACAGACCAACATATGTAGAAACTTTACTAGAAAGACCAACATATATAAAAACTTTACTTGACAGATCAACTTATGTAAAATCTTTACTTGACAGACCATCTTAGGTAGAAATTGTGCTTGACAGACCAACTTATGAAGAAACTGTACTTGACAGACCAACTTATGTAGAAACTTTTTTTACTTGACATACCAACTTATGCAACCATATCACAAATGCACAAGCAAAATTATATGAAATTTCTATATAGACACTCTGAGTTTACATGGATATTATACCTATAAACAGAAATGAATTATACCCTAGTCGAAGTTGTCTAAAGGGTGTTAATTATTATACATATTACATGCTCCACCATTAACCTTTCTATATGATAAATAACACAGCGTCTATGTTATAAAATATTCATAAAACCTATACAGAAATACTATAATGCCAGGATACGAATATCTCTGCATCTTGTCTAAAGGATGTTGTTCACTAAAAACAAACATTAATATTTCATAACTCTCTATATGACCATATAAATGCAGGCAATAGACTATCTTGAATCATGCCATTCATCGATCCTCGAACAATGTTTATCTGCAATATTCATCATATTCAGTATTCTATTTTCCATTACAATGATAGAGTTCTAAGTTATAATGCATAGATACCCATTCATTACTTTGATGTGAAGATTATGTTGATGGGTTACCCTGATTTTATACCATATTAATCTGTGATTTATATGATATTGGGTACATGTACACACACGGTTGCTCATAAATCGTCTTAGTCCTAATACTACTGTCAACTTCAAAAGTTTCTTCCATTATGTACCTTTCATCTTTTTCTGACAGTTTTAAAGCATTTTTCTTTGTTTAAATCTCTCATTTTTAACATAAAACATCTCTATAACTGCTATCCTTTTCTTTTAGATAATTTTAATGTTCTGGTAAATAAATGTGATCAATCTTCCATACAAAATTTATCTATTAAGACATACAAGGCCACATAAAAGTGACACCAAAAATGCTGATTTAACATTCCCTATTTTAAAATACATAAAAAAGCTAAAGAACATGATTAAAATAGATTGAATTTGCCAGGATTTCATTAAATAAACATAAAACTGTCTTATATATTTGAATCTGAGGTCTAACAAATATTTGTCTACATTGAATAGGTCAGACAATTTACTCACACACAACATACAGGCCAACTCTAGACTTATTGACCTGGGAATGAGTAATGACTGTTTCATCTATCCATCCATGATAATCTATACATGTAAAATAGATGTAGAGGCATCAACTCTGTCCAAAATCAATGAAAAAATGCAAGAAATAAGATGCATTTCTCTTCATATTCTTTCTCAGCAATTCTATTCTTGATCGATTTTTGCATATTCAAGTATTTCAAGAATAAAAAAGAATCCCAAAGTGGTGTCTATTTCTACAGAAATCAATTCAGGGAGAGGAAGAGCAAGACAGAAAACTTGCAATTACTTTGGTACTTTTGTCTATGATCCTGATTAAAATAATCATGAGAATAACACATCATGAAAATAACATGTCTTCTGCAAAATAACAGTTTCTTATTTACATTACAGTGTAACTAAATTGTCTGTAAACCATGGTAATACTGGAGACAGTATGATTTGGTTTTAAGCACACCCATTTCATCATGATAAAGTTGAAGAAAGCTGCTTAAAAAATATTCTGAAACAGTCAATAGAATTAATATGGTTATCATGTTTTTGTTAAGAATGATTAATTAAGTTTTAAAGAAATATTTATGATTAAAAAGAACACTATAAAGTGTATTAACAAAATAGACAATAATATTAAACATTTATTATATACCTAAAATATAAATAAATTTAAGGCATTGAACTAGCATCTGTGTTTATGTCTTGTTTGACATATAAAAGCATTTTGAATTTTAAGACACTGGTTACATCAAAGAATGCCAATAAAATTAAATGAAATGATCAAACTAAAAGTAAAATACTGTATAAGTGGTAAAGTTTGAGATTGGGAATGTTCGCAATTGGAAATGTTTATAATTTTTGCCGAATTCATCAAATTTCTGAAAATATGTGCCAGCGGACATTTTATCAGTCCAAGTTCCTATATGGCTTTTGTTACCAGATGTATACTGGAGTATAACAATTGTCAACCTTATAATCATTCCTGCACTACTGACAAATCTTTGATATGGTCCGGAGTCAACATAAATACCGGGTATTGAAACTTTACTCTGTGCACTAAACTGGCTTTGCAACTTGATAATTATAATGGTGTAATTGTCATTGTCTTACAATTTCAAGATCATTGTTTTTTACACACATGGTGAAATAGATGTTCAAAATATTGCAGGGATGTAGTTTTTATGTGCTTCTCGAACATAAGACTTCTAAAAACAATTATCCTATGAACATTGATATACTGTCAACTAAATTAAAATTGTTAAAATAAGGGTCTGTTGCATCTATGTACTTCATATTTGCAAAGATTTTTATTGAACACTAAATTGGCATCCATTATTTACATAAAAAACATGCCTTTGCTTAAAATTGCAAGATCAAATATTTATTATGACAAACACCGAATTTATTCTCATTATTATTGCTTCCTGCTATATTGTTTTGCTTTTATATTACCATGACAATAGTACATTTATCTACAACATTTCAGCTGAAGTTTCAGCTCTTAATACAGAAGCTGTTAACTACATAAACAACTGACCAAATTGACAATACGCTTCTCTTCAATAAACAACCAACTGATAGCGTTTTATTGTCCTTCCATTTCTCTTTTATGACCAATCAAGCGCCTTTAACTCTACCAATCAATAGCTGCACGAGCAGAGGACATCTATAGTCCAGTAAATAGACACGTGTAATGTTTTATCTGACCCTCGCTTAATCATCATGTTGACAATTTCCATACAAATATTTACTAACGGCAGCAGCAATTAATAACTGCTCCCCCCACCATAACCTCACAAATAAATCAATATAAAAATGGGAAACAAATGCATTCTGGGAAACTTTTATGTACAGATGAATTCCGATAGGGAAGAATCAATCATGGTTTTTGGCCCGCACACAAACTTAATTGGCTACGATCAATTTATATCTCTATCATATTCCTATTACGGAGAAATCAAAGACTATTTCCAGTATTGTAAATGTCATACAAACAGAATAATGATGGCATGAACATGTTCATATTTCTATGAAACACTAAACAATAAGCCCTTATACAGTGTGTATATGTATATATAATTAATAATACATTTAATCATTTAAATAGTTAGAAGTAAGGCCAAACAAAAATCGAATTTCACAAAGTGCTAGGGGGAAACAAAAGGTAAAATGATCATAGTGTAGAAAATATACATGTACTATTTAACAAACATAATAGCTGTCAGTCAACAGTCATTAAAGAAAAGATGGCATTTCAAAAATTTTCTTTTAAAACCACCCTAAGCCTTTAATATGGTCAGTAAGTCCAAGAGCAATTGGTCTGAGTTGACAGTTTACGCTACCATGTGCATTCATCTCTTATAATCCACATTTTATGTTAAAAGGCACTAAATATTGAAATTTATATTTTTATAATTACTTCATATTTACACTGACACTTCGTTAAACGCCACCCGTTATAACATTAACCTCATTATAATAACTCCAGGGTCTTGGTTCCAAGATAAAAGTTGTATTTTTCATTCATCATAAAAATATACATATGTGTATGTAAACATATCAGACAAGTACAATAAGCAAAGAAATTAGGGCTTTCAGAAATTAGGACACTCAGAACCCATTCATATCACAGTCAGAGTAACTATACACTTTTTATCATTTCTTTTGGACAAAACAGTGTTGAAACTTTTTGTAATATACTATTAGACTTTTGGTAGGAAAAAATCCCTAGGAATTGAAATTCCCATGCCAAAATTTCATTATAGCAAAGTTGTATATCACAAAGTCAAATGTCTGAACATTATTGATCTGTAGAGGGAATTATGAAAACTACAATGATAAAAGGCAGTGAGTGATTCTTATCATGGTTGCATGACAGAAACTTGTATAAAATCAATCATATTATACATGCAGTAAATATATGATACATGGTATGTAAGGAACTATTCTCTTATAAACTATAACTTATTCATTTTAGCATTTATATGACACATTTTAACTATATACATTGTAATAAGAGTCAGTTTTCATGCACTCAGAAGTGAGAATTCATATACAGTCAATGGTAACTTATACACTTTGCGTTGTTAGGTCTGTTAGCAAATTATGTAGACCTGGAATTGCATATGTATTTACTGATCTGCGATCAGAAAATACAGAAACCTTATTATAGGCCAATTCTTTCATACACTGATTAAATGGTGAACAGAATAGCCCATTCCAATGTTTTAACTGGCTTAAGTTTCAGTACAATACTGGTAGCATATTATTGCAATCAGCATAAGACTTATAATCACACAATGCCAGCTTACTTGCGTCACTCAAGAATTGATAGGTATGACAGATAGGATAAAAACATGAATAATTTAAGTTATAAGATATACATGTACACGTATACTATTTTTGAAGTTTGGTAATATAACCTGTTTCAAGCCTCTTTTAAACTATCTGTGTCATGATGAACATCTGCTTGGCATGACATAAATGTTTTGATGATTATATATCAAAATATTTAATGGCAACATGATAGATTCATAAAACATTCAATGTTGCTCAGTAAAAAAATGCTGTCAAAAAAGAAACCCATTCCAATTCCAATATATCAGCTTAAATTGCGGACAACAAATATAAAAGTAGTGTGAACAGACAAATGGATAGCTACATATTAGACTTAGATAGATAATGGCAGGATATATGGAGTGGTAGCAATAAAGCTATTCACTTAATTTCCCATGACACACATTATTTCAACCATTTATCTACCCACTGTTAAAAATAGAGTCTTTCAAATCTAAGCATTCATTTATTTAATCATCCTCTGACCTTTCTGTTTTATTTCTACATTAAACAATATGGAAAATCATGAAAGTACTGGTACTTGGTAGCTTTATAATGACAGTTTCAGTTGCTGATTCATTAAGTTCAAACAATTGACTGGCAATTACAATGCTAAATATCTAAAATGGACTTGTCCATCTTCAATCTGGACAAAACCATTCATCAATTTTTTGGGAAGTTTTTTTTTTGGGAAGTCTTCAAAATATGTAATGTAGTGGAAGTTTTTTTTTGGGAAATCTTCAAAATATGTAATGTAGGGAACAGTGCAGCTGTACATGTCTAATTGTTGCTTGGGAATGAAGTAGGCTTAAGGAAAAAATACAAATTTATTTTCTAAATGACTTAAAAAAACAAACTAAACAAACTGGGTGAGAAAAAACACAAAAACAGACAGACTTCTATATTACTGACCACTTTAGATATTAAATATCAAACGCAAAGAGAGAAGCCCAAGTTCTTCCCTTGAGACATCAAAATATTACATTTATAATATCAAATTATTCCAGAATATACAGATACATAAAGGGCATGTTTCTATTTGCCAATCTACTAAATCATTAGATAATATCTGTAAAAGTTCTTGTAACTAACACATTAGTATTCTAAACACAGCCTTCTATTTCTCAGGAATGACACATTTGCCTGACTCATTTACCAGCAGAGAGAGGAAGAATTGCTGTATTAACATTGATAGACAGCCTGGTAAAACTTTAATGACAGGGACTAAACTCATCAATATGCTAGCCAACCAGACATCTTAGTTTCCAACCATTATTGCATGTT